TACATGTTTGTAATTACATAGTACCTGTAGACAACACAATTCTTCTAAGTATCGTGAACCCCACTTTGGTATCCATCCATAACCAGGAGGGGTATATAAACTGAAATGTTTCTGAGAAGACCTACACGGCATACCTCAAGGAGTGTTTACAAAGCACTGTGTAGCACCAGAGACACCTGTGTCAGCTCTCACCAGGCGGGTGTGGGTGCTGGAATCAGTGTTCCTGTATCTATGCAGCACTCCGCCAGTGTTACCCTACACAGGCAAAGACCCTTGCTAAGGTACCACCTCATCATGCTTTAACATGGGAGCAAAGCTTTGATGATGCTCTCTGAAGAACAGCACACGAAGGAATAATAATTAAAAAATAGATGATTAGCGCATTAAATACATTGTCATAGGACATAGGAACCCCAGTCATAAACCATATAGCATGAACTGATATTACAAGTGAAAGCAAAGGGATGGTCCCTCCCTTGTAAATGTACCACTGAAGTACACGACAAGAGAGGGGGATTTAGGCATTCTGACAGTAGTACGAAAAAGGCGATTGCGGTTGTGTGACAGGCAATGGCCTCAGCGCGCTGGAAGTTTACCGTCATCACGGCTTTTGCAGGAGAGAGGGAGTTTTGACAACGGCTCCAAGAGTGGTAATCATTTTGAAAATGATGAAGGGATGTTCCCCTAGCTGAAATAGGCACAGAAGGAGGCCTGAAGCTGCTGCTTTGAAAACACAACAAGGCAAGAGGGTAAGCTTAGGCTATAGTAGACTGATGTGAACTGTGAAGGGCTTTAGAAGTAAAAGCAGACAGGTAAAAGCATCTCAGGATGACCGAACAGAGGAAGCCAGTGAACAGAGCTGGGGAGCGGGGCACACTTAATGGTGAGGGGAATTCACTCCTGGAATGGGTCACCGACAACTGACGTGGATTTTTCCTTTGCTTAAGATTTTGTAAATCAGATTGGCTATTTGATCTAACATATGTAGCTTTTAGAAACATGCATTTTACTAATATCAAACACACAGTTCAGCGATGCACAGGCTGCAGCTCATAAATTGAACTGCCAGATCAGTGAATCTGCATCACTTCTGCTGCCACATTCATGACGGTGGCCTGCAGATACTGCCACAGAGCACTCAGGAGGAGTCATCCTGATGTGAGGCAGCCTACCCTCTGCTTCTCTCTTTCCTGCAGAACCTATGACTGTCCCTTTCACATCACTGTGAGACTTGCCATGTGCCAAAATACACACTCCCCCAATGAGACAGGCACACATCTGGTCCCGCACACACACACCAGCCTGCAGGTGAAGGCTGCTGGCAAATCCTGGTGTGCTGTTGGACATCCTCCCAGGAGGGGAGGATGACTACCTCCGTCACGACAGGGCAGGCAAGTTTTCCTTGAGTATGTCTGCATTCCTGCTGCATGCCCAGAGGTATACCTGTTACATAGAATCATAGAATCATTGAGGTTGGAAAAGACCTCTAAGATCATCGAGTCCAACCATCGACCCAACCCCACCATGCCC